GCGCACAGTTTTTATTAGCACAAGCTCATAGTAAGCTCATTGCACGTCTCTTTATTTTTGACTTGCATAAACATAGATGTATGTGTTTACTCGTTTGTGGTTTGTGCTGTTCCCTATACCCGAGCAGGAGATAATGACTAATGAATACCTAATTCTGATCTGATAACAAAATTTGGTATTGGATAAGAGGAAACATACCAACAAATTACATGCAAAATATCTACTTTGTAAATAGCACAACATTGATATTTGGATACCAAAAGAATACCTGTGTGGTATTGTTTTGGTATTGCATTTGCATAATTTGGTATTGGAATGACATTTTGGGAACATTTTCGTTGGTATTATTTTTTGGTATTTTACCTCTTATGTCAGCCTCATCCATACCAATTTATTGTATCGAGATATTCGTTCCTGTTCGGGTATCCCTGCTTGCATCACATTAAAACCAACCGGATCGTATGTCTTTATTTCGAGTTTGGTCATGAATTATAATATTGGAGATCTGTTACCCGTTGAACTAACTTTGATAGTGCAGGTAGAGCTCCTAAAGCATCTAAGAAACGGTCTGTAGATACTTTGGAGAGAGTTGACGATTATTTAATGTTCATATAACTTTGCAGCATTCTGTTTGAAAGATAGAGGTAGCAGGAAGTTGGTTTTAAATGACTCAAAAACTGAAGAAATTCTAACAGGAAACTAGAATAAAGTCATGTTCGGCCGACAAGGTTGAGTACTAGAGTACTAGAGTACTACTTTTCAAATGAGTTCTTAATTACACCGTACTTCATTTGCTTCATTCATTCAAAGTCCTCAGGTCCATTTTGGTCAGCACCACAGTTAACCCTAATGGATGAAGCTAATCTACTGGAACAAAATGCCTCAAAAAAATGTTCTGCCCATGAATCACGCCTACACACAGGGTACAGCGTTGGATCCTTTAGGATAAACTCCGAACAGAACCGCGACCCTTTCAGATGAAATCCAAAGAAGGCGCACGCATGGTCTCCACTCTTCGCTACGATAACAACACATGTAGGCAAAGAACATCGGAAAGGGACAAAGTAGAGGGAAAAAAAATCACATACAAGTGCATTTGACAGCTTCATCGTCTGAATAATTGTACGCTTTTTATTGCCTTCTTTTTTTCTTTCGTAAATACGGTTCCCTCTCCTTGGGTGGCGGAAGTTTTCCGGGGGTTTGCTCTTTTCCATATCAGGCAGGCAGAAACAGGCACATGTAAAAAAGTTATTGATTAAAATTCTTAACTTTGAAATTGCTTTCGAAAAGTTTAACGGTTTTTTTTTGCTATTAACATGAAAAGAGAATAGAATTGCCCGGAATTGGATTGTGTGATATGACTTTAGAAAAGGGTTTTCGTTTTGGATCGCTCAAGCTCTTTTCAGCACTACTTGCCAGGATAGTTTTCCCTGATGACTCCTCGTCACAAGCACAAAGAAAATACATGCCCATTTACAACAATGTTTTGACAAATTAAACTTCAATTTCATTCATTTCAAAGTGTCATAAAATTTTAAAATTTATGACTTAGTTTTTGAACGCCTTTCCAGAAGCACTCACACGTCAAAGGAACGGCAGGTAAAGGCATCCCTTTCAGCACAACAATTTGTAGTTGTAAACTGCTGTTTGCTCTCGCTGGGATGAAAAGGGGTTGGATATTGATTTGGTATTTGGACGAAGGGAAAAGTCAACCTTTCGATGTTGTTACCCCTCCGGAGTCGATTACGGTCGTAATTGTTGTCGTTTTAAAGTGATACAAAGTGTTGTAACTGGATGCCCAAAAGGGTTGTGTGATTAGTAAAGCAGGGAGGTGAATTAATAAACGAAATAAGTTTTCATCTTTGGAAGAATGGAATAATGCTTGATATTTAGGGACGTAAAGGCCATGGAAAGGTTTTGTCATGAAAAGAGCTGTGTTGAAGAAGGTTGCTGTATTTGAATTGTTTTGTGATTTACAGTTAAATAAAGAGGTACTTTGTAGTCAAAATTTACTTTCTTACAGGAAAACATGTTTCTACGGAAACAACACAGCAAAAGGAGACATGTAAAGGTAATGATTTTTTTCTGATTTTGTTATACAGTAATGGCCCGATTTAGTCAGTCCCCTTTTTTAAATCTTTTCTCATCTACTACGAAAACCACGCGCTTACACAACATTACAATATACCCTTATTTTTTCCTTGGTTGTTTTCCGTGCTGAGCACCAATGATACCGACGCCAGGGAGACAGCTCCCAAACCTGGACCCTACCTATCGAACCATCAACTCATGAACCGGGGACCAACGGCTTTACTTCCCTTCCGAAGGAAGGCGTGATCGGAGATGTTATGCCTCAGAACATCCCGGCGGTGACGACTGGGATTGAACCCAGTCCTGCTGGGGTGAGAAGTAACCACGCTTACCACTACACTACCGGTGCCGCTAAAATATAACTTAAACATCTATCTTGATGATGAATCAGTCAATTTTGAATTTATGGTTGTGTGAAGCTATTTAAGGATTAGCGTCTGGAAGAAAAATTATTTTTAAAGAAAATTTAATTTTATGTTCTTTGTTTATCAGGGTTTATTTATTTTTTTTTTCCTTTTGGTTTGTTTTTTCCGTCGATCTTGTTTTCCGTGCTGAGCACCAATGCTACCGACGTGCCAGGAAGGCAGTTCCGACACCTGGACCCTACCTATCGACCCATCAACTCATAAACCGGGGACCAACGGCTTTACTTCCCATCCGAAGGAAGGCGTGATCAGAGATGTTATGCCTCAGAATATCCCGGCGGCGCCGACTGGGATTGAACCCAGGCCTGCTGGGGTGAGAGGTAATCACGCTTACCACTACACCACCGGCGCCGTTGTCGGGTTTATTTATTAATTAATTATTTTATTATTTTTTCTTGAATGGAGGGGCTGAATAAATCGAGTCATTACTGTAGTTACTTTAACACATTTTAGGTCATTCGTGACTTGACTACTCGTTACCTTTAGCGTGAGAGGCAATGGATGATTAAGTTAATGGTTGGAAACTTGAAAATTTTCACAAAATGTTTAATTCGATGAAATATGAAATGATGCATATACATATCCCTTTTTTTACTATAAGGAGTCTGTCATTTGGTCGGCGAACATACTTTTGCATATATAAATTAATAAATTATCCATAAAAAAAACATAAACGGTCCTTAAAAAACACCTAAATGATCCATAAAACTCCGGAGAAAATCCCTAAGAAAGTGTGAATGATCAAAAAAAAAAGTTGTCACTATGATCCATATTTTATTTAAAATTTATCAACACATTGAAGAAACGTACCACTGAATTTCAAAATATGAGCATTGAAATTGTACGAATTACCCATAAACATAATGTGAATGATTTATCAATCAGAACGTTCAACAATGAACCATAAACTAATGAAATTGATGAAATATGGGATTGAATCCCCAATACTATGCTCAATAAGCAAAATTGTTCACTGATAAGCCACCGAGCTCCTTTCATCATAACAAACCATTACGATTAACGGTTGCTGGCAATATGAAGCTATTGAAATAAAATCGGTTTTTCCCGGGTGCGTGTCATATGTTTTCAGGTTTTATATAAACAGTAAAATTTTATTTCAGCAGTAGATGTCACTGGGAAAAAAAACTTGTTTAATATTTTAAAGATAGTCAACCGGAAAACACCTCGATGAAAAAAAAATATAAGAATGTGGAAAATGGTTTACGTTCCAAGATCGCATTATATTGTCAAATTATATCCCATAATTGAGAAAAAAAATTAGGTCCGAAACTTTAAATCACAGGCAAACCGACATAACACTCACAATCACATTCATCGCAAATAATGTTTTAGTTGGGAATGTGCTTGCATTTGTCATGGTGGCGCCACTGAAGCATTGAGCAAGCCACCACATTTCGAACTTATCAGTGATGCCATTTTTGTTTTTCACGTCTAGTTAGTAGATGTCAGCTCTTGAAAATGATAAGTTGTCAAGGCATCCCACTGGAGACACATACCACATTTGACGAATACAAAAAAAGTTGTTGAATATTACATCAAAACTGCTGCACATTAGTCATTCCGTTCCTAATATTACAATGTACGATGTACATAGAATTCGAGAACAAATCAAGCTGAACATTGCATTCCCAAGTAGCACACTTCAGCCTCAACGAGTTCCAGCAACTTGATTGCTACTGAAATAAGTCACATAGAAGATTCCTCGACCGATTTGCGACAAGTGTGCTACTCGGGTAGGAGTAACATTGATCGATTCTCTTCGTCGACTTTCTCTTTCGTTAATAACTTGATCCTAGAACTGTTTCTTGCTATGTTTGTTGTATTAGATGCTAGATAAAAGCTTCTTTTATCGATTTGTGTGCTGAATATACCTGGGAATGTCTTTACATGGCCGTGGGGATGCAAATAGAAAGTCGACGAAGAGAATCTGTCAATGTTACTTAGGACCTAATGCTTGAAATCATGTTGATGACTGTAATATTCTATCAACTTTAACCAGTTATTGATATTCAATACTTCACCATGAATATCATTGATTGATACATCTTACATTGATACATCTACATTTAGAAAGGGCACTAATAAATGATGCATTACCATGTTTAAAAACTTCTGTCTTAGTCTTAATCTTAGCTTTTGTGAATTATTCGTAGAACCGACATCACTGACTTCGATCTGTTTTGTTTTTATTTAAAACAGCTGACGCGTTGACAGAATGTGGATATACAGTGATAGAATAAATTCTTACAACTCCCCATCTTCGATTGAAAGCTAGATAATTGGATGAATTTTCACGATTTATTTGTGTCGTTGGTTCACTCGTCGGTTGGTCTATCGAACATACAAAAGTTTTACTATCTTCGATCGTCGTTGTCGAATGCAGCCTTGCAGCTTATTCAAAGTATCCCGATTTGCGCTAACAATTATCCGGTGGCTTGGAATCTTCTGCTGGAACACTTCCAGAACCCTGCTCGTCTGAAGCAGTCGTATGTTGACGCCCTTTTTGACTTCGCTTCATTCAAACGAGAATCGGCAGCGGAACTTCACAGTCTGGTAGAGAAGTTTGAGGCAAACGTTAAGGTTCTATATCAACTCGGCGAACGAACGGAGTACTGGGACATTCTGCTGATCCGCATGCTCATCATTCGACTTGATCCGACGACAAGGCGAGATTGGGAGGAGTACTCTTCGACCAAGGATGCGATCACCTTCAAAGAGCTGACGTCATTCATCCAGCGACGAGTCACGGTGCTGCAATCGATCCAAGCAAAGACCATCGAAGCGCAACCGTTAACAGTACAGAAGAAGCTATCTCAACGTTCCGTCTCGAGCCACGGAGCCAGCCAGTTCAACGCTCGGAAGTGTGTCATTTGCTCCGACCACCACCCACCATCTATAAAGGGAGTTTTTCTAAGCTTTCGATCGATGAGAAGGAGAAGGAAGTCCGTCGTCATCAACTCTGTCGTAATTGCTTGCGAAAAGGTCATCACTCGAGGGATTGTTCGTCATCCACCAACTGCCGCAAGTGTCGTGGACGTCATCATACCCAGCTCTGCCCGAATGATTCTTCTTCGTCGTCGAACTCTAAGTCTGTCAGCCTCCAGCAATCGAAACCTGCTACTTCTACCCTAGCTACCGGTTCTCCGACCACGTCTGCGTCTGCCACGGTCGTCGAGTCAATCAGTTGTGCTTCTACTGGCCGCAACCAGAAGACAGTTCTCCTAGCTACTGCAGTCATCATCGTGATCGACGACAATGGGGTTGAACACATCGCTCGTGCACTCCTGGACTCAGGAAGCGAATGCTGTTTCATCACCGAATGTTTTTCGCAGCGCATCAAGGCCCAACGGAAGAAGATCTACCTACCGATAACGGAGATCGGTCAAGCGTCCACTCAAGCCAAGCTAAAATTCTCATCTACCATTCGTTCTCGAGTTGGCGAGTACTCCACCAACGTCGAATTCCTCGTTCTGCCGAAAGTGACCATCGATCTACCTGCTACATCCGTGGACACTTCGACTTGGGACATGCCACCCAGCATTCAACTTGCTGATCCGTCGTTTGACAGCACTAATCCTGTGGATATCATCATCGGCGCCGAAATCTTTTTCGACGTGTTCAAGGTCGCAGGTAGAATTCCTCTCGGAAACAATCTTCCAGTTCTAGTTAACTCCGTATTTGGTTGGGTAGTAGCTGGAAAGTCCACTGTCAGTCCGTCTACCGCTCTCGTCGTCGCTAATGTCGCTACCGTCACCGATATCCATAAACTTATGGAGAAATTTTGGACAATCGAGGAAGACAGCTCATCGACAGCGTACTCCGTCGAAGAAGCAGCATGCGAGGAACATTTTCAGCGAACTGTAGCTCGTACCCCGGAAGGACGTTACGTAGTCCGCTTGCCTTTCAAGGAAGACGTGCTTAACCAACTCACTGACAACCGTCGTACTGCTGTTCGTCGCTTCCATCTACTTCAAGGTCGTCTGGTTCGTAATCCCGACCTTCATCAGCAGTACAAGGCATTCATCGATGAATATCTCGATCTCGGACATATGCAGCGCATCCACGACTATGAGAATCCAGCAGTTCAGTACTATTACCTTCCTCATCATGCTGTGATACGTGAAGAAAGCACGACAACGAAGCTACGGGTTGTCTTCGATGCCTCGTGTAAAACGCCAAACGGACCTTCTCTCAACGACGCTCTAATGGTTGGCCCGACGGTTCAAGAGGACATCCGTTCAATAACTATGCGCTCCAGGAAGCATCAAGTTATGGTAGTTGCTGATGCTAAAATGACAACTCATCGTCTGGAAACCGTCACCGAACCATCTGTGACATGTGCATTCCACATGTCATCAAATCCCTTTTTCCCATAGACAATGCTAGCAGGCCGCACTTGTAGCTTTATGCTGAGAAGAGTCGAATTCTTCCATAACCCTCGTCAGTCATCGACCCATTGCACTAGCATGTCGCAATTGGACGTTTTACTGCAAAACAAAAGAATCATATTTCAGAGTCATTATACTATGGCTGTTTCAAACCCGCCGGCAGCGTATGAATGCTGACCGTGTGGTCTCTCCCAAATTCTCACTCTCTTTTCCACTTATGCCTTCTCCATAACCCATCGATTGGTGATTGGTTAATTAATACATAAGACTTCAAGTGCCTCCAAAACGACAGCCTAGGATAAGTTTAATAAATTGAATAAATTCATTCTCATTCTTACCGTCAAGTATGTTACATCGTAAATCTGATGACAATCCCCAGGCAGGGATCCTTATATGGCATACCGTGACATGTAAAGTTGTTCCGTGTTAAGTAGTTTTTTCCAAACCAAACAGTGCCAAAGTTCCAGAATCAGTGCGATAGTATCAGTGCCGTACGGAATTAAAAGTTAAAGTTGAGCGATGGGAAAACACCAGTCAAAAAACATTAACCAAAACGGTGACCCGCAAGTCACCGTAATACAGAACCAAGAACAGCACAGTGTAGAACACGAATTTCACAATCTGTTACTATGGTTAATTCTTATGACTGTGCTCGCTCAATTAGTGATTACGCTGTACGGAGAGTATAAAAAACGAGAGAAGAAAGTCGCGTTAAATGCTGCCCGATCGATCGCGGCACTAAATGTAGTTTAAAGTGAAAATCGTCTCAAAGACTGAACGCGAAAATTAAACACTTGAAAAACAATTGAAACATGTGAACAAGTTGAAGTGAAAGGTGAAAATTGCTACAAGAGAAATTTTTACGGTACAGACAGTACGGTACGGTAGTGACCAGAAAATTTTCGCTCGCTTTGATAAAGTATATGGCTGCAGTGGTTCTCCAATCATGTTCGGTCACTGATGACAAATCATGTTCGGTCAACGATAACAAATGCCCGGAGCACCCCGCTCGGCGAGGCCATCCAGCATCAAAGCTACGGACGATTCAACAACTAAAACCATAAGGTGTTGAGGAGTGCGCCTCCACCTGGAATGAACTTGTGAGGGGACGCAAAGTGATGCCGTTCATCAGCAGAGGCCGGAAGATTTCAACAAATGTGCGTGTAAGGTAACCACCTCCGCTGAAGCAGATGAATTGTGAGTTATTTTTATTTTTTTTTTAAAAAACCATTTCCGTTATTTCGAAAAATTGTCATGAAAGACAAATACGACTCGTTAAAAATACTACTTGAAGAACTAAAGGCTAAGAGTGAAGTCAGGTCTTCAACCCGAATTTTAAATAAGAAATTAACTACTGCTACGGATTTATACAATCAAATTATTAGTAAATTAGGTAATAATGAAAAACATGCCCTAATACTTGAAAAGGCCAAACTAGTATATGAAACAATTATAAGAATTATTAAAGAGAAAAATCAATCAAAACTAAACTCATTCAAAGGAGTGGCTACAGCGATCATTTTCACAAACAGATTAATTAATCGTCAAAAGATGGCGAATATAATGGAAATAGTAAAAATTATTCCGCAATTAATTGTGCCCTTTAATGGGGATGGAGAGAAATTGAATAGTACCATAGCAGCATTGAACGCATGCAAGGTACTTATCACAAACGAAAACCGCGCAGTTGCCATTCAGGTCATTCTCTCGCGACTTGAAGGCAAGGCCAGAGCGGCAGTGGGAGATAACCCACAGGATATAGATGAGATAATTAGAAAACTTACGGAAAAGTGCAAAATAACAATTGCGCCAGAAACTGTGATGGCGAAATTAAATACCACAAAACAAGTCGGTGAATTAACAAAATTCACCGAACAAATTGAAAAGCTCACGTTGGAGCTTGAAAGAGCTTATCTTAATGAACAAGTTCCGGTGGATACGGCCACAAGAATGTCGGTCAAAGCCGGTGTGAAAGCACTCGCTTCTGGCATAAGAAGCGAGGAATCCAAATTACTAATAAAGGCAGGGCAATTTACCTCGTTGTCCTCTGCAATAGAAAAAATTACAGAAAATGAACCAACACCGACCAACAACATTTTACATTTTCGCTCGAACAACTCTGGATACAGAGGTAACTATTACGGTTACCGAGGAAATATTCAAAACTCACGTGGACGTCAGCGTGGAAATGATAAAAGTTTCCGAGGACGTAACCAACAATCCAACTATCGTACAACTTACAATTATCCAAATGGAAACTATCGCGGATATAATCGTGGAAACGGTCGTGCAAATAGCCGTGGAAATTTCCATAATAATAATTCAAGAATTTTTTACAACTCAGCACAACCAAACCAAATGCTGCAAGAGATTCAAAGCTCTCAAAATAATTTGGGGTTTCAACAACCTCTACCCCAACAACAGCAGACTCAAGTGGTACATGCCCAACCGCAGCAAAACCAAGTGGCACTAGCCCAATTAATACCCAGACGTTAAACAAAATTTTCACTGTTCAGACTGTTTATAGCAACTTCATTACATTGGGAATAGAAGCCTCACATAAATACAACACTTTTCTCGTAGATTCAGGAGCAGAAATTTCTCTACTAAAAACTGGAAATTTAAAAATTACTGAATTAGTAAACATTCAAGAGAAATGTAAAATAACAGGCATAAATCTGGAATCCATTGAAACCTTAGGAACAATTTCGACTATGATAAATTTACCTAATGGAAATAAAATACTACACAAATTCCAAATCGTATCCCAAGAAATACCTATACCGACAGATGGTATCTTGGGTCGAGACTTTTTGGTTAACTACAGGTGCATAATTGATTATGACACTTGGATGTTAACTGGTTACTCTAAACAGTCAGAAAATTTTGAATTAACAATCGAAGATACTATAAACGGTGATTTAATTCTACCTCCACGATGTGAGGTCTTCAGAAAATTAGACACACAGCATTTGAAGGAAGAATTCGTTTTAGACGCAACTGAACTAAAACCAGGAGTTTTTTGTTCAAACGCTATTATTAGCCAAAACAACTCAATTGTTAAAATAATAAACACTTCAAATGAAACAGTAAAAATTAAAAATACTTGTCCAACAACGATTACACCGTTAACTGAATATGACATTCTAACATTTGATCAAAGTAAACAAGAATTACGAAATGAAAAACTTTTTGAAGAACTTTATATAAAAGACATTAACATTGATCCAAACACAAAACGAAAACTGACTCAACTATGCGAAAAATATAACGATATATTTGCGTTACAAACAGACACGCTAACGCATAACAACTTTTACAAACAACAAATCAATCTTAATGACGAATGCCCGGTCTATATAAAAAATTATAGATTACCGGAAGCACACAAACAAGAAATAAACGAACAAGTAAATAAACTCCTAGATGATGGAATTATTCGGAACTCAATTTCTCCTTATAATTCACCATTACTCCTCGTTCCGAAGAAATCCATAAACAAAGAGAAAAAATGGCGTTTAGTTGTCGATTTCAGACAACTAAACAAGAAAATTATAGCAGACAAATTCCCTCTTCCAAGGATCGATGACATTCTTGATCAACTAGGTAGAGCAAAGTACTTTACTACGCTAGACCTAGCATCAGGATTTCATCAAATCGAACTGGAAGATGAATCAAAACAATATACCGCATTTTCGACCAATTCCGGTCATTATGAATTTTGTAGGCTACCATTTGGCCTTAATATTTCTCCAAATAGCTTTCAGAGGATGATGACCATAGCCCTAAGTGGTCTCCCTCCGGAATGCGCTTTTCTATATATTGATGATATTATCGTCATTGGTTGTTCGATAGATCATCATTTATCAAATTTGGAAACTGTTTTAAAAGCACTTCGAAAGTATAATTTGAAACTCAATCCTAGAAAATGTAATTTTTTTCGTCCTGATGTTACATATTTGGGACATCATATCTCTTGCGAAGGAATTCAACCAGATAAGTCGAAATACTCGACAATTTTAAAATTTCCTACACCAACAAATGCTGACGAAGTAAGAAGATTCGTCGCGTTCACAAATTACTATCGGAGATTCATACCGTATTTTTCAGATATCGCCGCTCCACTAAACAACTTATTAAAGAAAAAGGTCAAATTTGAATGGACTGCAGATTGTAAAAAGGCATTTGAAACCCTGAAACAAAAACTCTTACATCCAGTTATTTTGAAATTTCCTGATTTTAAAAAGAAATTTATTCTATATACAGATGCGTCGAAAATAGCCAGTGGCGCAGTTCTTACCCAAATGCATGGAAATATTGAATTACCAATAGCCTTTGCAAGCAAAAGCTTTACAAAAGGCGAGAAAAATAAATCGACCATTGAACAGGAACTATCCGCGATTCATTGGGCGATAACCTATTTTAGACCATATTTATACGGTAGACGGTTTACAGTAAAAACCGACCACCGTCCACTTGTATACTTATTTTCAATGAAAGATCCATCGTCAAAACTGACACGGATGAGATTGGAATTAGAAGAGTACACATTTGACATAGAATACGTGAAAGGCAAAGAAAATGTCAGCGCTGATGCTCTTTCACGTATTACTATTGATTCGGATGAGCTCAAAAACCTCTCATGCTTATCAGTTCAAACAAGAAATATGACAAGACAGCAAAGAAATCCTAATAGTGACAACACAGATACTGACACACGTGCCACTGAGATTGATCACCTCAGGGCATATGAATCAGTCAATAACTTAGATGCTTTTAATATGCCTAAAGTTATTTTTGATTTTGACAACCACAAGTTAGATATACGACTTCTGACAAAGAACCAGAAAAGAATAATTGCGCAAGCGCAAATATTCTATAACGGTAGCAACACTGAATTGCAAAAAAGTCTGCAGACGATAGATAATATGGCCAAGAAAATGGAATTAAAAACGCTAGCTATGAAAATGAATGATAAAATATTGACCCTAATTCCTCGAGAAACATTCAAAAAAGCATGCAACGAAATGTTAAAATATACGACAATTATACTTTATGTGCCAGCACAAATGATTAATGATGAGGAAACTATACAAAGGATAATCTCTGAAAACCATGACACACCTACGGGAGGTCATATTGGTACTTATAGATTATTACAACGACTAAGATCAAAATATTACTGGACAAACATGAAACGTACTATCACAGAGTATATAAAACGATGTGATAAGTGCATAAAAAATAAACACCGAATTAAGACGAAAGAAAATTTTATAGAAACAACTACTCCGATCAAGTGTTTTGAGCTAGTCTCAATTGACACCATCGGTCCACTAACAAAATCTAAACTTGGGAACAGATACGCATTAACAATACAATGCGATCTGTCCAAATATATAATAATCGCACCAATTCCAGATAAAAATGCACAGACTTTAGCGAAAGCTTTTGTCGAAAATTTGATTCTGGTATATGGTTGCCCGATAACTATAAAATCAGATCTCGGAACAGAATATAAGAATGATCTGTTCAAAAATATTTGTGAATTTCTCTCAATCAATCAAACATTCTCTACAGCATATCACCCCGAAACCATTGGTAGTCTTGAAAGGAATCATCGTGTCCTTAATGAATATCTAAGACATTTCATTAACGATCAACATGATGACTGGGACACCTGGTTGCAATACTACACTTTCTGTTATAATACAACCATACATACAGCCCATAACTTTAGCCCCTTTGAATTAGTTTTTGGCAGAGTAGCTAACACGCCAAGCTCCATTGAAAACATCATATCCATAGATCCACAATATAATCATGATTCATATTTAACAGAATTAAAATACAAAATCCAAGTAACAGCACTGAAAGCAAAAGAATTGCTAGAAAGAAGCAAAACGGCTAGAATAAAAAATAATTCTCAAAACATAAACCCTATAGATGTTAAATTACACGATAAAGTCTATTTGAAATTAGAAAACAGAAAAAAGTTAGACAGAGTATATTCAGGACCGTTTGAAGTTATAGAAGAAAATCATCCAAATGTTACTATCAAAAATTTACTTAATCAAGAAAAGAAAATAGTGCATAAGAACAGATTAATTAAAGCTTAAAATTATGAAAAATGTATTTCCACTATTTGAACAATACATTAAAATACAATATTTAGATTGAAAACATAGAAACTAATGCCATCGCGTAAAATCATCTCACTCAAAAGGGGATGGTGAGCAATACATAATATAAAAATAAAGATAAAAAAAAAAAGCAAGGATAACCGTAATATTTTGTGAGAGGTATTTGAAGTCAAAAATGATCTCATAAAATTCAATCATTTTTCCCTATAGGAGGATGGTGTGACATGTGCATTCCACATGTCATCAAATCCCTTTTTCCCATAGACAATGCTAGCAGGCCGCACTTGTAGCTTTATGCTGAGAAGAGTCGAATTCTTCCATAACCCTCGTCAGTCATCGACCCATTGCACTAGCATGTCGCAATTGGACGTTTTACTGCAAAACAAAAGAATCATATTTCAGAGTCATTATACTATGGCTGTTTCAAACCCGCCGGCAGCGTATGAATGCTGACCGTGTGGTCTCTCCCAAATTCTCACTCTCTTTTCCACTTATGCCTTCTCCATAACCCATCGATTGGTGATTGGTTAATTAATACATAAGACTTCAAGTGCCTCCAAAACGACAGCCTAGGATAAGTTTAATAAATTGAATAAATTCATTCTCATTCTTACCGTCAAGTATGTTACATCGTAAATCTGATGACAATCCCCAGGCAGGGATCCTTATACATCCCATGGAGACATACGAGTTGCAGACTGTAACGTACGGCACTGCTAGCGCTCCTTTCCTTGCCACTCGGGTACTGATCCAACTTGCCGACGACGAAGGTCATCATTTTCCTCTCGCAGCCAAGGCTCTTAAGAAGGATGTCTACGTCAACGACCTCTTTTCCGGTGGAAACAACGCAGCAGAAGTAATCGAACTCAGGAACCAGCTAGATGCACTCCTAGCAAAGGGTGGATTTCAATTACGAAAGTGGGCTTCGAACGACGAAGTAGTACTCGAAGGAATTCCACCGGAGAATCGCGCACTAAAGACTTCCGTAGACCTCGATCGAGATCAGGTCATCAAAACTCTCGGGCTGCATTGGGAACCAGCCACAGATTGCCTTCGGTACAAGGCCGCCCTACCATCTGACACAGCAGAAAAGTCTATCACCAAACGGATTGCTCTTTCGCTGATCGCTCGCCTCTACGACCCCCTCGGCCTAGTAGGCCTCCTCGTAACTGCTGCCAAAGTTTTTATGCAGAACCTGTGGATGCTGAAAAATGACGATGGATCATCGTGGAGCTGGGACAAGGAGTTACCGATCGAGTATCAAACCCGGTTTACCAACTACCAGAAACAGCTACCGAGACTCAACGAACTTCGCATCGACCGCTGTATCCTGCTACCCGAACCAGAATCCATCCGGATCCACATCTTTGCCGATGCCTCGCAACTCGCCTACGGAGCCTGTGTTTATGTCAGGTCAACTGACGCCTCTGGAATGGTAAAAGTTGCTCTTCTCACTGCAAAATCGAGAGTGGCGCCCCTCAAAAGGCAATCGATTCCACGACTCGAACTCTGTGGAGCACTTCTAGCAGCGCAACTCTTCGAGAAGGTGAAATCGTCACTTCAGCTCACACATTACGATAATTCATAAGGACTTTGAAAGAATTTATATAAATTTCTGAAAGGAGATTTCACAGTAGATTTATTTCTTAAAAATTATGAGTAGCGTTCCAGAAGATTCTGACATAGAACAACATTTGCAGATTGCAAAAGTTGACAAAGAATTACGTATTCATTGCTTAGACATTACTTGAGTTTCTCACTCTAATGATTTGAAAATATTAACCCGACCATGAGCTGAAATGCTTATCTAGGGCATTGCAATTTTTTTAGATTTAGAGAATTCTTTAGTTTTTTTGTTTTGGTATCCCGAAATAAGTAAAAGTTCAAAATTAGAAGCTTGATGAATTATCTAAGATTCAGGAAACAGGACTTAGAGTATTGTAAAAGAATTCAAAATTTATATATATATTTTAACGTGTACATGTCCATATTTAAATTCCAAATACTTAAGAACATATTTTTTTAAATCTTTATTTTAGAGATTTAAGCTAGTTCATCTCTTACATTGTGCATGTAAAAACTGTATTTTAGGCTTTAGTCAAATTTCCAGTTAATTCCCGGTTTTTCTCGATTGTGTACGATTCCCGGTTTTCCCGGTTCAGTGGCCACCCTGTATTACTTAAATATAAAAAAAAAACTAGTTGCAGCTAAAGCTATTCCCAATAAACTACGAGGTATATGGGACGTTACAAGCAATCAGTTCAACAAATGATCTAAATTTAATTTCTAGGTGATTCAAACGAGATTTTATGGGAATCGTGAGAAGAATGAATAGCAGGTGCATTTTAAGGAGAATTCTAAGAGAATCCGAACACTTCGCTGACTGTATTCTATTGATTCCTTAGTCTTCCTTAATCTTTACGACTGACGAATCTTGTTATGAAATATAGGCTCTAAAAAATGCGAATGATTTCGAGTTGACGATTATAAAACACCTGGTTTACACGCAGTTCAAATGGAAAGGTTGCCGAAGAAAAAGAGGCTGCCGACGATAGTCGCACTCACCTGAGAAGTTTGGAACTTTGTAAAAACGTTTCAAACACTTTAACTATTTTGTTTATACAACTTCTGCGTGAAGTTAACGATTTAACATAGTTGAAGATGCTTAGTTTCAAATAACAGACTTAAAGTGGTCATGTTATACGATAGATGAGGAGATGAAAGTATAGAGTTGATTGTTCCGACCACTGATTACCACTTTAAGTTTGTTATTTGACGCTTAGCATCTTCAACTATGTTTTCAAACACTTTTTGACTCTTCTGTCGATTTGAATAAATAGAGCAGCAAGATTTTTTTTTTAAATCTTCATTTAAGATATTTTTAGACATAGGCTAGTTCATCTCTAAGAGAGAGAGAGAAGCAAGAAGCATATAAATGTAAACAAACAAATCCGTCATATGTATGCGTGACGCTGAGAAAATGCTAACAGAAGCACGAGAATGCGTAAATTGCCCTATAAGCAGAATTTAATGGGTGTATTCTGCGCATAATTCCAAATGAATACTGAGAAAGATTTAAAAAATAACTTCAAATGGAATTCCGATAAACATATCAAAGCAACCGTATACTGATTATAATAAATACAAAATTGAGGAGAAGAAGATAATCAAAAAATCAGAAGATAATTTTGAGGATTTCCTTAGGAGAGTATAGAGTTAAAAAAAAATTAACAGAATTTCAAAAGAATCTAATGGTCAACAATGTTGTATTCATAGAACCCCACAAATTATATAAATTCTATTGATTCAAGAATTTTCAAATATTTGCTAAATCCAAATTAAAACTAATTATTCATGAATCAAAACTCAAATGACGATTATGACCACTGTGAAGCACCATCATGTGCACTCTAGAACCCACCTTTTTGTTGGCATTGTGAAACAAATTGTTTGACAAGTTGTATCAAAATCAATTCACCTTCCCCAGCGACCATCCGCCCCGCCATATAGTAATAACAAGCAGCGTATTCCCAGTGGATAGGGAGCTCATTAAAATTGTTGCATGTAATATCGCTTGTCGAACGAAATGTGTGTCTGGGTGTGTGTGTGAAAATGTGAGTGCTTGTAGCTGTTCGACCGGAACATAATTTTCCGACAAAAGGGGTGTTTGGGTGTGAGTATCATTTAATTTACATCGAACAAGCAGGCAGCCGTCGGTGGTTCTGAGAGGAGGAGAGCGATCGAAAAAAGTCAGTTGGCCAAACGGCAAACCCCGGCGAAAGGTAATATTTTAATTATTTTAAATGAATGAAATTATGCTTAAATCAGATTTATTAAAATGTGGTTGTTCGCCAGCCGGGGTAAAGTGGAAACGGATCGAATTTTCCCACTTCCCACAGCATGGTGGGGTTGATCCGGTGTGAGTGGTGTGTAATTACAGCTGCCGGGTTTTCGAAGCACATTGTGGCCATTGTGTGCGGTGTGATTGAAATGTTTATGGAATGTCTTTTTATTTACATTTCGATGACATGGAATATTCATATTCGTTTTCGAACCGATCGCAATTGATAACCGAGCGAAAAGGGTGAGTGTGAGCAGCAGCAGCTTGCGGGATTGTGACTTGTCCCAGTCCGGTTTGAATAGGAAAGAAATCAAAACATGACTTCCCGATATTGAGCTATGCTAATTGAGTTGCAGACATTTGAATAGCAAATTGGATTTTCGATTGGATGTTTTTTAATTTTAGGCTGACGGTTGGTGAACCCTTTCTACTGTGGAAGTGATTTTACGTTTGCTGTGCGTTTAGAATCTAGATGATTGACGTTATTCAAAAACGATGCTTCAGACAGTGTCTGTTAGAACGGTAGGTTTTCTAAACAATAAATTTGATTCTACTTACAAGCACCTAATGAAGGCTTTTACCATCTGACAACGGTCAAGATAAGCCATCACTTTATAAACGGTTAACGTAACCCTTCTCATTTTTATTGCAACTGATTTTGATTCTGTTACACCCCTCTGACTATGCTGAAGATTTGCCTGCAGATCCACTGAAACGATTTAATTTTCCTCCCGAAAACATCCGGGCATTGTGTCGAAAAGTCAAAACAGAAATTAATTAATTATTCCTGTGCCAGGCACCAAGAAGACAGGAAGGGCGGAAACTCAAAAGTCACGAGGGATGAGGTCTGCTGTTGCCACTGAAGCCAACCCGCCACGGATCGTCCTCTTCTTCTGACCATCCTGAGCGGCAAAAAAATAGAATCATAAATTAATGAAAAATGATAAAACAGGATAAACACATTTTATCACTCTCATTCGCCCTCTCCTACTCTTAGACTTGGTTCTATTATTATGACCATCATCGACGATTCCCATTAGCATGAATAACGAAAATTTTCATGCGAGTTTTGCTTGCAGTTGACACGTGACCATAACTGATTTGTTTATATTGGCGCTCGGTTTTTCGGCACAGATTTAGAAAGAAAAGGGGAAAACCTGCATGGCAAAGGTTCAGCGGAAATTTTCCACCTATTAGAAGAGGCGAAAATTTATGGCGCATGCCGATTAAATTATCCCTCGGTGAAAACTTTTATTGGAATTCGAGGACAAGTTTTTCCTTGGAAGCTAATAAACTGGCGGCAGACTTGCAGCATACGGAGCAAATGCTGCTGGCTGGTTCAGGTTGTCATGAGGCTGAGCTGAATGGGTATTCGATTCGCTTATTATCGCTAAATGGATTGCAATTGAAATGGGAGCGGGTAGGGCTGTTCGCCGATTGCTGTTTGAACACAGCTGTTAGATGAAATGCACACTCACACTCACAATACAGGCAAATTCAATGATTAGACTGTATTTCTGGACTTAATTCAATAGATATACAATTAAAAGGACCATGCAAAAATTACGTCCTAATGTCATCCAAAATTGCGATCAGCCAGGCATTGAAATTGAAGTATTCCATCCACATATTATGTAAGGGGTTTTGAGTGATTATTTGCCATTTTTTTAGGGAACATTCTATGTTTTTCTTGCAGCGAAGATTTATTGTCCAGTCCGTGTTTTTAGTTACAGGAGCAGAGCAACGGGCAAGCATACAAAATAAGCTTCTTATAGATTAAATTTTCCCCAAAAAGATAAAATGTTCCCCTAAAAGATTAAGCAATAATTTTCAAAATGAGCCAATTTGTTCTTTTGATGCGTATTGAGATGAAACTATTCATTTATTTACCAATTGGAAATACCATACAGAAGAATTTTGTCGAAGACCGCAAGTTTCGTGTCATTTTCCATACAAAATTAAAAATTCTCCCGCAAATTCAATGCGCATCTAAAGTGCATTCGAGAGCATGGGGTTGTAATGTTCTACTGCACAGTGAGCAGCTGTGCAGGGCTTTCCTTTTATCGTTCACCGTTAGTTGTTCGCCTGAGTTCTAGAGCAGACGTGGCAGCAAGCCAGCTGTACACGGCGGGACAGGACAGACGTGACTGCATGTGCTGCGACTTGGTCAGAGTCGTCTACACTCTAAGAACCCGAACTCCTACCTTTGCACAACGAGGGTTTGTGCAGGGCTTATCGACCTCCTGCGACGAGCTGGATGGGGTTCCAGGGTCCTTACTCTGTTGTAGTTCGTTTAGCCGCAATATCTCTCCCTTGGGTTCGATAATTAACGTTTCCAGGGCACACCACGGGGAGACGAACTATTTTATGCCCCATGGGGTTGTAATGTAGACCCACCTTAATGTTGACCACTGAAGTGACCGTGTCAGCTTAGAGTTGATTTCAATTCATCAAATTGTAGAGCAGATTTGGAGTATCCTTCTTTCTTAATGCTTAAGATAATGGGGCAATTAATTTCGGATTTATTAAGTTGTAAAGGTCAAAATAGTAATTTAAAACTGCTCCAATGATACGATACATTATTTAATGCATGTGTACCTAGATGATTTCAGATTATATTCTACATTTTATAAATTATTTTCTGGTTGTTGTTGCTTAAAAAAAAACCGTTCAGCGCTTTGTTTTGAGTGGGCTCGGTTGGTTTTAGCTATACCTTCGAATATTTTTACCAAGATTTAAATTCTGAT